TATATATATATATATATATATATATATATATTATATAAAAATTATTATTATTTATAATATTATATTTAGTTTTGTGTGATATGGTGATCTTTCTTATATACATATATTGTTCCTCAAGTTGCGATATTTCGATATCGCGTAAATTTCGTCATCGTATAATTTGTCGCAATATCTTCTATTTCTTAATTATAGCATTATTTAAGCGAGAATTTAATAATTTTATATAAAATACTCATTTCATAAAATCATTAAGCACTATTTTATATAATTTTAATAATACTGACAAATTAAAAAATGGTAATAATTTAAATTGCTGCGTAACTTTATAATTGATAAAACAGGAAAAACGGGAGACGAATGAAAAATTGATCAAATAATAAAAAGCGAAGAATGACAGAATAAATCAAATGACATAAATCAAAATGCAGTAATCACAGCGGTTTGTAGAAACCCAATTCTATGGCGAAGTTTTATGATTCCAACTTTTGTCGCATGGACGACCACGTTCAATCTTCGATCCTTCCAATATCGCCCGTCTTTATCCCAGACGATCGACACTTTTTCCAAACGCGTCATAAGAAAAGTACGTAAGAAAGATAGCGAAAATCCGTCATGTCAAACCTTACAAACCCTACAAACCCCACAAAATTACATCTTGGGTGCTGCTAAATTACATAACGTATTTCCGTATTATATTAAATGATTACATTTTAGGAACGTGAATGTAAACACTATTACTGTAAGATATATTTTTCCTTTAAAAGAAGAATTTTTCTTCCCTTATTTTTTATTTGTAATAAAAAGAAAACTCTTAAAAGTAATAAGAAGAAAATTATCACCATAAAATATTTATATTATCGATTTAATTGTGAATATTTTTGAACAAACATTAATAAAACAGTTGCTCGTGTGTGAAACGCTCATATATTATTAATTGTAAATCATACCGCGACTTAAGCAACTAGTAAAAATAAATTTAGCATTAAAATTGATCATTTCTCTGTACTTTTTCTATTTGTGATTGCAAATATTGTACGGTCTCTTTATCTATTTTCCTCTTTACGACGTAGTAGTATTCCGTTTCTTGGAATATTTAATTAACGTCTTCGCTTTTAACGAAGACAAACACTCGAGCAGCGGCGAGAGAGAACCGCAAACGTTATCTGGTTATTGCAAAACCAATTCCACTTGCAGCTGATGTACGAATAGTCAATCTCTTCTCATTCAAACATGTTTATAACTGAAACTGTATAAATACTTAACGACAAATTAATAATAATCTAGATTTAGCAAATTTAGTAAACTATTCTATTCCTCTTTGAATAATGGAAGAGATACTCTCAATTCCAATTATAATATAATTATAATTCTAATTGAGAGCTCTCATAATTGAAAGTGAATTCGACAGTGAAGCTTTCTGAAATAATGAAGGATGAACGCAAAACGCAGGTAATATCCATTTCATGCTCCTTGCATCTTCATCGCAATATATCAGGAAAATATGGTAAATTGAATTTCCACTCGAGTGTCATGATTAAGCCGATTATTTTTACTTAATGAGGAAGTAACGCAAAAAGAGAAGAATTCAATCAGAATAATGTAATGTTTGATGAAAGAGAAAGAATGAATGAGTAGGTATTATAATATCAATTTAAAATTAGCGAATGTAAAATACGAAAGTTCAGAGCTGCAATCTATTAATGAAAACATCTCCGATTATTATTTTTCTTTCAATTAATTTTCAAAATTACAAAAAAGAGGCAGATAAGTCCAAGATATTAAAAAAACTGAAAGAATAATTTAAAACCACAAATGTTCCATTTCATTCTACCAAAGAAATAAGAGAATTATTCATCTCTTTAATATAACAGTGCATTTTATTTCACTAAGAGATGACGTTGCTGCTTTGTGATGGCAATGGAAATAGTTACAAGTAGTAAAATCCGAGTATGTGCGGGCACCCATTTGGCATTTTTCGTAATATGTCTCATCTTCACGCCTCGCGCTTGCATCGATTGATGAACCGCTATTCACTGAACGTTAAAGCATCAATAACTCACGTCTTTAAGAAAGATGGATTTAACCCATTCTCACAGGATCTCTCAGGATCTTCACTTATTGAAGCGTAAATTTTAAAACCACGAATAACGTCAAAAAAGCTTCATTAAAATTATGTGTAAAATTATATGAGAAATTAGGTTTGAAATTTACGCATAAAAATTTTATCCCAACATCACTGTGTCAATATTCCATTCTTCGGAAAAATTCCGTGTAACACATGAAAAACGCGAGCAGGAATCGAAACGGAATAATGTTGCGTTATGATTCGCGTAGGAAAACACGCGAAAACCTTTATCTTTTACCGGATTCAAAATGTATCTTGCGATCCATTGCTATTAATTGAAACACCATTAAGTATAGTCTTTGTGCTTACGAATATCGTATGGCCACAATGGTTATCAATTTGCTTTACTTCTTATCATCCTCGCGTTATTATTATTATTTGTCTTTTCGTTGTTTCATATTGATTTCTTATATCACGATAAAAAGCAGCTATAGTACGATGATAAATATGAAAATAATGGCAATAGTGTGGACATATGTAATATAATGACAGAACATTTTGAGGATCGCCGGCAACATAACGTCTAAGTATTATCTTTAATGATACAGCGTACGTGTATTTATTGTACATCTAACACATTTTTTGACAGAATTATTTTTTATTTGTTATTGCATGTCACTTATCTTCCTTTCTGTCTAACGTATTTAAAAAGATTAATGTATCTAAAATTAAACAAACTACTCTGACGAAATAAATGAAAAATTAGAGAAATAATGAAACATTTGATGTTTTCTAGATATTCAAATTTTTAACTTCACTTTCTTATCTTTTACATTTAATGTTGTAATATCGAGAAGTATAATAAACATTTGTATAATAACGTTTGTTCTTGCATATAAATAATAATTTTTGTAAATAATTATTGCTAATTAAAAAAAAATCTGTTCATTATATATCGTTTACAAACTTTTAAAGTAATTAATAATATTTGCTTGTCTCGCTGTATCATATTAAAAGTTTGATGATTCTATTTCATTTTATCGAAAGACCAACACAATTTAATTAAGAATTGAGCGACTTAATTAATTTGTTTGTTTTAAAACTTACCGAACGATCACGGTCCTCGCACCCCTTGGTTTCTTTAGGGCAGTCTAGATCCGTCGCATCCTACGAAGGTCCGTGCTTTTGACATTGCCAGCGCGAGAAAGTTTTGCCCTCGTGTGATGTGATGTCATCTTAAATATCTCCGCTACGGGCGTGACGTTGCGATTTTTGAATGCATCTTTGCTATCTGATTGCGAATTGTTGCGAATCTTCAATGAAAAATCATGCTCGGAGTGTGCGGAATAGGAAAGTATATTGCATTTGACTCATTTCTCTCTTGACACTCGTGACTCCAGAAATTAATTAATTAATTTGCGCGAATCTTACGATATCCGTCCAGTGTTTTGTCACTTGTTCTCTGAAACGAAAGATGCTTCGTTCACTTTGCCGTCTCGATGATGATATAAACTCTCTCTCAAATATAAACCCAAGTCGTTCGCGCTTCTTTACGTAGCAATTTCCTCTTTACGCATCTCTGACAATCGTTGTGATGTCGCGTTTGACATATCAGACGTCAACTTCTCTCTTGTCATTTACTTTCGCAATCTTCGGCGACCGCGATAATCTTCTGTCTTCGGCGCGGTGACAGCTGAACGTTCCCCGCCGGATGTACTCGCGGTGGATCGTCCCGGCACCAAGACACGTCGAATCTTCGCCCTCGGATTCCCTCGCTGCTGACACGCGATGCAGGATGTGAAGAACGGGGATGACTTCTAGACGGAGCACACGTGGAGCGAACGTGCGTACTACGTGCGTGGGTGGTAGCGTACTACTGAGTTTCACGTTCGCGAAAAGCCAATCCCGACTCATCCCCACCGCGTCGCATCCTAGGCACCCTTCCAGGTCCCTCCGGCACCCTCCTCACCACCCCCGCACCATCCGGGATCCGCGCGCGGGCACAGTCTCTCTGCTCGCCCTCTCTTTTCTTTCTCTCGGTCGAAAGCGAGTTTGCGCCTCCACTCGCTTCATCGCGGACACTACACGCTCTATCGTTACACTTTTCCGCCAATAATAACGTCCGCGACAATTTCTTCCGCTGTACTCCTTTCCACTTGTTCGCAAACAGTTTTGCTTCATCGTCCGCTTTTGAAGAGAGGTAAAACGCTCGTAAAGACGGTTCAGCATGCGGAACGTCTCAGACTTCTCTTGCTATTTCTAGTTTATTCCTTCGTTAGTTTGGAGCCGAATTCTCAAAAAAAACATCGTGAATTCATTAGTTAATTGTAGGCAATTAAAAATAAAAAGCTCTTTGAAAGCTAGCTTTTCACGGGATAAATACAAAAAAATTGACAAAACAATTAAGTAATAAAGCATAAACAACTCTTAATGTGTCCTGGCAGTCTTCATTTTTAAAGAGTTGAGTAATATTCTCTAAAAGATATACTATTACAAGGCACATTTTCTGCAGAAACTTTTTCACGATGAAAAGTCCTCTCTCGAAACACATTGTGTTTTTGTAAAATGTACAAACAAACGTTTCGATTTGTTTTATCAGCAAAATATATTTTAAAAGGGACTGCTTTTAAAATCTCTGTTTCGATTTGTTTTATCAGCAAAATATATTTTAAAAGGGACCGTTTTTAAAATATCTGCGGTATTTTTCCTCTCTCTTTCTCTCTTTTTCTCTCACACACAAATACGCAAATAAGAATTTGTGAATAATCTGCACATGCTTTTTTTACAACAAATAGCCCATTTGAGCAGATATTCACGCACGATGTATCGTTTGATCGTATTTCTAACAGGAAGATCTTTCCTCGTTAATGTCGCAGCGCCGAAAAGGAATTAAACGGCGTTTGAAGAATAAGCCCTCCTTTGAAATCTCCTCTGAGCCTTTCCTCTCCGGAGATAATATCGCGATTATTTCGCTTTCTCTCATCGGCGGTTGCATTGTTTCTATCATTTCAGTGTTACGTTCCTCTCTGACGGGAACAAAAAAATGCCCCGCTTTTCAATCTCCATAATGGGTCACCCTTAATCTTCGGACAATGTCTCGAATCTCTCATTTAACAAATAAGTTGTATGTTGTAATTAAAGATACGTGATAAAAGAAATTATTTCGTTGAAAGAACCTACGCTACGATTAAACGTAAATCAAGTCTCGCTAAAATATACTCATAAGACGCAAGATATCGATGTAACGCTGGTGAATTTGCAGTTGTCTTCCTTCTAACTTGTTAATAAATATTATGAAATACTGAAGAATATTTTTCTGATTTTTCTATCTTCTTCTATGATATCCGAACGAAACGTATTAAAGTCATCTCTCACAGATTTACCTTTGTAAATTTAACATTTGCAATTTCCGACGTTTCTCTCCCTTCGCAGAAGCAGGATAATAGAATCGATATTTGAAAACCTTCTCGACAATGGTCATTCTTTTGATAACGAGTAGGTACGCAGCTGTATTTCAAAATGATGTATCAATCTTCTCTTTGAAAAGAATTTCCTAGCAAAATTTAATTCAACGTAATTCAATTTTTTTTAATAATTCTTTTAACGATCAGACGATTCTTGGACGATAATATTTCCAATCGGCGAAATTTCTTTATTACACTTATTCGCAATTCAAGTATTATTTATTAAGCCACAAAGTCTGGCTTTACACAAATAGCGATTCTGTTCTCTTTCTCAAATTCTCAGATTTTCTTATTTTTAAGAAAAAATAAACAAATCTTAGAATGCTGTCGTATAACGATCGTATTTTTAATGTATTTTTAATGAGATGGAGCAGTAAGTTCTTCAATCCTTGATTTAATCCACCGAAATGACTATCGATTATCGTTCTAGGCAATCGATAAGCTTATCAAGACAAAATAAATTGTGAATTTTTCCCGAAAATTTCCAAGATCTTTCGTTAGACCTCCATTTGTCTTCTTTTTACTAACATTTCAGTATGCTCGAAACTTCCCTTCCCAAGATGAGCAATCGTCACTGATTCTTTATTGAAAAATCCTAGCAAAATGGGTCATTTACAAGTGAAGATAAGGAGCAATCATCGACAGCTACGAGTTTTCACTTTCCTTGACGACATCGGGAGTCGATCGGAATCCTCGATGTAAAGTAGCTCGAAGAGTATGTTATTTAACGAACCGTTATATAACTCTAAATATTTCCTACGTTTCCGCGTTATTGTTTAGCAAAAATCGAATTTATTATACCTCAACTTTTTTTTCGCGCGAGTTATTCTACGCGCGCGCCCGTGTTATTATAGAAATATTTTCTATTTCGATGGCTGGTAAAGAGAAATGTTACATGCACGTGTATATTCGCGATCCCGCAGATTTCACATCGCTAAATTCAATTTGCGCAAATGATAGAATGTCAGCGTCATATCAACCAATAAATGTCAGAGATAAACGTGTCGATAGAATTTCCCTCGCGCGCAGGTTACTGAGTTTAACGGAATTTTCGCATTCCACGTGCACGTGGAAGATCACCTAAGTTTCACAAACATTCGAAATTCGCTAGCAATCTCGAATATTAGCCGTTAACCAATGCGCGCGGCCAGCATTAGCGTTCGAGCTAAAAAATGTTAATATTAACCGATGTGGTAGCGCGCACCGTGAAACGAATCTGGGTCATTTCTGTGCGGCCGGACTTTCGCGTTCTATTAAGCTGCAGTCTACTGCGTCCATATGGCTCTTGTAAATCACGAAAGCAACAAAACTTCTCGGTACTTCTTTATTTTTCTGACCGACATTCGACTCGATCTTGGACACGCGGTGTACAAATGCGCGCAAACTCTTTCCACAAACTCCGAGTAGTAACTTGTGGCACAGCTGATATGTCGCTGACAAGGTCGCCAAATGCATGTGTGATTGTAATAGAAATTTCATTAAATTAAAAATAAAAATATGGTTATAAAAAAATTCTCAGATTGAAATTAAACTTGTGGACAAATGTAATATTCTATTAAGTGTCGGGACTAATATTTAGACGGAATTTAAAATACTTAATAAAGTTGAGGTATTTTGACAAAGTGTGTGTACTCAGCACACACACACACATAGAAAAATGTCAGAAAATATCAAATGTAATCCATAACTCATTTTTAGTTTACATTCTCTGTTTTAGTAGCCTCGCAATTTTACGGATGTCTGAAAAGAACGTAACCGGAATTTTTTTTATTAAATTTATTTTAGTAAATAAATTATTTATTTGTTAAAATAAATTTAGTAAAAAATTTATTATTTTAATAAATCTAAAAAAAAATTACTACAGGTAAAACTGTAATTAGATAGAAAATAATTTTTATCTGTAGTATGTGTACAATTTTTTTTAGACTTATTGAAATAAATTTAATAAAAGAAATGCCGACTCTTTCTAGACATACTGTATATGCTTATTTTTTTACGAACACTACTGTTTCTACAAACAACGTATTATATACTGCAAATCAACGCGCGTCTGAGATTATTATCCAGATGAAAAATTAACTTTCCCATAATTGGACACGACTCGGTGTTACGTATCTAAGAGAATCTCAGTGCAGATGATTGATCGGGAGAAATAAATCTCGTTGCAAGGGCGGGTTTCTCTTGGCTGAGGAAAGTCGTCGAAAAAATGTCAAGATAAATGGGCAAAGAGACGGTGAGTAAAACGAGGAGCGAGAGAATGGCGCGAAGCAGCGCAGAAAAGACCGAAGACGGACGGCTCGGTGTCCTGAGTGAGATTTACAAAGCTGAGAGAGGGATAAATGCTCGCCGCGCGGCAAATAGACTTGAAGCGATACTGTCACGGGTGCCCGGGCACGTTTAAGAAGCACATCATAGACGACCCAGATTATACTACTAGCGCCTTTAATAGCACCAGAGAATTTTGGCCGGAATTTTGGAGGGATCTTATTAGATTTTATCTTATTAAATGCTCTGCATAAGTGGCGTGTTTCGGATGTAACGCTCTCCAAACGCCAGCAATAAGCGTGTAATTGGAAATTTGTTCATTCAATCTTCATCCTTTCAAAAAAGAAAATATCTATGGCTTTTAAGACAACTTTCATCCAGCGTGTCATCGCTCGTTTCGCATCGATACGCAGCTGAAACTGTCGAAGGTGAAACGCCAAAAGTGCGCGGTGTCGAAGGCAAAATATCGAAGCTGCAATAACACCCCCGTGTCAGCATCCCCGGCTGATTGACGATGTATCGCCTGCTGTTTCGTCGGTAGGAGCCAGACGACTTCCAACTTTTATTTGGCTAGACTAGCCGGCGCCCTGGCTCCAATAGTCTGGCCGTTACCACTAAAGGGGGACAAGCAGACAAAGTGGGGGATGGATTATCGGCAGACCGAGGCGGCTGGATACGCAGCGAGGGAAAGAGCAGCTGAGAGAGAGAGAGAGAGTGAGAGCCGGTGCCCGAGGGGGTGTGCGGAGGACAGGAGAACGGAGAGTCGTAGAGATATCGATTCATCCAAATCCCACGGTGCCAGCACAAATGGGTGCATGGACCGGCGGTTCGCGTCCGTCGCGATACCAGATTACATCGCGTTATGTTGTGCAACGGCAGTTCATCCCCCTCGCTCGCCGCCCTCTCCCGCCTTCCCTGTCACATCCTCCTCTTCGACGCCCCCGCCGTCCACCCACTCAGTCCCCCTCCCCATCTATCTGATGTAAATTCCATTATTGGCCGACCGATTCCGCCGCGGCGTTAAACGCGACGACGCGCGTGTATCGGGCACTCTCTCCGCATTAGAATCCGAACGACGCTTCCGCTCGAGGTGTGTAGCTGTCGTTTCCCAGCGACAGGGAATGAATTCCTAGGCCGCGTGAGAAAGCTCCGCCGCGAGAAGAATCCGGGACTTCGCTCGAGCTTTATTTTACAGGCGGATGTTCGCGCGAGCGTTGAAAGAAAAAGAATGCCCGGTGTTCTGTATTTGAAAAAAGGAACGCGTAATGTAGAAGGAAATATGTGCGGGAAATCGCTTGTTCCTCCCGCGCGGTAGTTTATGCGCTTTAGCCGTAACTCGATGAAATTTTTAGAGCGAGCTCTCCAGTAAAAAAAAAAAAAAAGAGAGGAGAGATATACACCGTGCAAACGACCGGTTGCGAAATGCTGTCAGATTTAATTTGTGTGGCAAATGAAAATATCATTATTGTCACGTACGTCATCTTACGGATATTAGTTTAGATATTAAATGTTTCATTATTGCGACCAATGAAAACTAATAACGGAGGAAAAAGTATGACGATTAGCCAAACCACTCTATGGCGTACTACGCGATTAGATATATAATTATTATTTTATATAAAATTAAATGTAATCATTATTTTATATGAAATTATATGGAAAATCGAACGCTGATTTAGTGGTCAAAGATAACGCAATCAGACCGTCGTAATTATCCGCATGGCAATTAACGTGACAATCGGCGCGCACGGAGCTTTCTTAATTTCGCGAATTAGTTGGTTTTCGATTTTCACATTGCCAATCTGTTCCATGCTGAAATATTATCCGCCTTTCTCCGTTTTCCGATAACTTTAAAGGTTACACAGACAAAAAGAATAATTGAATTCCTCTTGTGGAAATAATCGTGCTGTCAGCAAGCTGGCGCGGAATGAATTCTCATAGAGAATCGGTAAAATATTTGGGACAATCTACTCTCTCTCTTCTCTCTCTCTCTCTCTCTCTCTCTCTCTCTCTCTCTCTCTCTCTCTCTTTCTGTCCAAGGACAGATTAAAACTTGGAAAGGGAAAACCGAGGGCGGCCGGTGATTTTTCTTCGTAGATCGCATCAAGCTGCGCTTTTTCTCATTTATAAATATACCCGAATACACGCGTATATATCAGAAGGTCTCGTCAACGCTTCCGGCGCCGCAAGAGATAATTCGCCGATGCTTTTGTGTTCTGAATGGCTATAAATTAAACTAAGCTATCGGAAAAGCGAATGCTACTCGGCCGCATCGATCGTAGTCGAGAATTCGTTTCGACTACGCGAGGTCGGCCTGTTAAACTCTCATCGCGCCCTCCGCCTGATTCGGAAATCCGTTGAAAATTGATATTGAAGTATCACAGTTTTGCTTCTGCTTCCCCAAATATAATATGATACGGCACTCGCGATATAAATCTATTAGCAAATATCAACGGTACATCTTTTTATTTTATTTGCAAATTACTTTTCAACAATATCTCAAAGACTTTTTTTTGTAGTAGCATTTAATGGCTCATTTTTATATAAATCGAAGATAATAATAACAATTATTAAAGTTTTAAGCGCATAAATGTAGTCGACTGAAAAATCTACTACAATATTAACCACTTGATAAGTCATTCTTCCAGATCGTAGCTAGAAAATTAGATAAGCCATGAGAAAAGGTTGCTCTTAATCTAGGATAAGAGAGTAAGTGGAAGTAGTAGTTAGCGCATACAATACAGATATATTTTCGTGCAACAGGTGGCTATACCTACGACGATTCAAATTAAACATATATTCAAATTAAACGTATTGCTAAATGCTTAAAACTTCGGCGTGTTGATATTTTAGCGTCTTATCAGAAATACTGCGATCTTGATATATCACATGTCAATGTATGTCATTTCTACATATTTTAAAAAATAGTAAAAAATATATTGAATATATAATAAAATAATATATGGAAAATATAGAACACATTTTTTATCTTGTAAATTTATAATTTAAAAGTGCACAATGTCTCTTGATTTTAATCTAATAATTTTTGTAATTTCTGTTTAATCATTTCTGTTTCACTCGTTAATAAATAATATAAATAAAAATTAGTAATTATGTTATATATGTGTTTTTTAAATCCTTCTAATGTGTGTGTATGTGTGTGTAATTAGGAATTATATTCTCCGCAAATATGCAGACTGAGAGAAATATATACAGGGTGACTCATTTCAATCTATCACCCCAAATATTTCCGTTCCCTTGCATTTTACAAGAAAATGTTTCAGACAAATGTTGTATGTTCAAGAGGGTTTCAAGAGGGCCATAAAATGATTTCATTAGTTTGATCTTGGATAGTCGTTTAAAGGTCACACAAAGGTCACCTTCAATTTCTTAAATTGAAACCTCCATTTTTCATTACATATTCTTATAGCTTATTTTGAGAGCTTTCCAAAATAATAAAGTTATTTTCCATTAAGTATTTGTCGCGTTATGAGGTTTAAAAGTTACGATACTGCCGGCATTAGCGTTATCCGAGATAGTCTGCGAGCGAATAGTCTGCCATATCACAGACCTTAAAAAACCTTTCTACGTATTGAGAAAAATGCTATGGTATCAAGAGAAATCAATGTGACCTCTAAAAATGTTTGGTCACACAAAAGGACCCGACTAGTAGTTTGGAAAAATATTTCTTAAGTCAAACCACGTCTGATTTCTCT